ATAATAATAATAATAATAATAATAATAATATTATTATTATTATTATATAAATACTATATAAATTTTCTTTATTTCGAGCTAAAACAAGCCAAACACAACGTGTTTGACTCGTTACTTAACAAACGATTCGAACACGAGCTATTTAACAAGCTGAGCACGAGCTATTCACGAACAACGAGCTTTTTTGGCAGCTGTACTTGGTGGATCTCCTAATTATTTTTGACAACTTAACTACTCTAAATCATCAAAAAAGTTTTTTGCTGTATGGAACTCAGAGAAAATTATTGGGGAACGGGTATAATTTGCTTCATTATTTTAGGTTAGCCTAAGTTAACCTCCTTGCATCATATTTAGCTATGGTTGTGAGTACACTGATATTAGTGTTGGGGTTTTGGTAGCAGCTTGACCTTCGATTTATATGCTTGTCCTTCCTTATGCGAGGAACTCTTTTAGAGGCCCCTTCACCAGCATGTTGGTTAAGTTCCTGAGATGGACACCACCTTTTGTGCAATGGTTGTGATCATGGCTATATTGACAACTTTTAAACCCATTTTTTTATTTTCTTTTTGAAAATATGCATTTACATTATCATATCAAAAGTTACCAAAAATTACAAAAAACATCCACGGTGTTGGAGCAGGGGCGATACCCCAAAACAGATCATGTAAGAGTCGCTGTACATAGGAGACAATGCATATGATAGAGCTTCGAGGGAAGTGGAAGCCAAGGTGTTGCCGTGCCATATGGTTTGCCATGCTTCTTAGAGTTTCTTGCTCGCCAACATTGGTAAATCACCTTGCAAAAAAGTAAAATGGGTCTTTTGTTTTTATGTTTAGCATGGGAGACAGCTTCAATAAACTCTTGCATATTTCGAATTCCAGGGAGGTCGAAACCCCACAAAAAGAGTTTTCTTCTAGCCTCTTGAACAATGGAGCAGTTTGCTATAATATGCGAAGTGTCCTCAGGGGTGTTACATCCTCACTGGCAGAGATTACTGTCCGTTAGTTCTCTTCGAAACAGCCAGCAGTTTGTAGGAATTGCATCAATTGCCATCCTCCACTAAAAGAATTGTCTTCTAGGAGTCTTGATCTTTTTAACCCACGCAAAAGAGTTGTTACTTTGTTCAAAAATGGCATCATACGTCATAGCTGTCACTGTTTTGCCACTTAGAGAAAAGGAGAGTTCCGCAAGGTCCCTCTCATAATCCCGATAATTGGGAATCAATACGCAAGCCCAGTTCATGTCCAAAGCACTGTTGGATTTTAAAGTGGTCCCACGTGTGGTCTTTCAGGGTCTCCTCAATATTAATAGCGGTCGACCTTCTTCTTAGAGGGATATCAAAAATCCATGTTTGACAGGTAATATCAATATCTTTCTCGTTAGCAACTTTCCACCTGATAATTTTTTGAAGGGAAAGTGTCCCTTCCATCAAAATTCTCCATGTAATTGAATCTCCTCTACGGCAACTGTAGCTTCACGGTTGCTTCCCATACTTTGGTGACAGAACTTTGTGGATAAGCAAATCTTCATTAGAGATGTAATTCCATGCAAGGTGGGCCATCAAAGATCCTCTCCATATAGATGGTGCGTGAAAACCCAGTCCGCCCGTGGTCCTTGGTTTGCATAGCTCCTTCCATGAGGCATAGTGCAGCCCACGAGCATGATTGTTTTTGTTTCACAGAAATTTTCTACAGCATTTTCAATATTCAACAATATCGAGTTTGGCACATCCGTATGTGTGATAAAATAGCTGAGCATAGCAAGTAAAGAAGAATTTATAAGCATAGCCCTGCCAGCTAAAGAGAGCTGCTGCGTTCCCCAAGCATGAAGCTTTTTGTAAACTTTTTGGAGCAAATTATCAAAATCATTTTTAGTAAGCTTCCTCATAGCAAGAGAAATGCCAAGAGTTCATTTTAGTATCAAAATCTATAAAAATACTAATTTAGTCATTAGACTCTTAATATGGGAAGGGATTATTTCAACCCCTATTCCAAGAATCTTGGGATTAATTTGACACTTTTATAGACCTTGGGACTAAAATGACCTCATGAAAATTGTCAGGGGACTATTCTGATACTATGCCCGCACGTGCGCGTGTCAGAGAGAGAGTAATTAGCTTTAGGATAAAGCCTAGACTTATATTATACTTTCAATTGGGTTTTTACAGCTACACCTGTAATTCTTAGCTTGTGGCTTAGGATTGCACTTATCTCTCTCTTTCAAGGTTCTTAGGTTTCTCAATGTAGTCAAAAAGTTCGCACAACTGTGCAAAAGCCATTAATAGGGCTTAAAGTTCCACTTCAAGATGAGTCCTATCAGAGTCATATAAGAGCTTTGGATGATTCTTTGCTGGTAATAATCTCTCCTATTTTATCTCCCCCTAACACTAGATTGAGAGATCCATTGGTGTTCTTGCCCTGTCGCCATGGCAGAAGCACCAGACAGAGGCAGCCAACCACAATTGTGCATTTAAAGTGACTGGCTTGGAGAGAGAGCTATCTACTGCTCTGAGCTGAAAAATAAAAATTGCATACAGAATTAATATTTACGGTCATTTACATACATATCGCCTAAACTTTAATTTTTATATTTATACCATCTAGATCTTTCATATCACGTAAAAAAAATACCACTATTTTAACTTTTATAAGTGAAATATATCTTTTCATGCATAAGTAAGATGGCATACATGTAAAAATTTGAAAGTTTAGCTGATAGACATGTAAATACATAAGAAATGAGTGGGTTTGCATGTAAATCTTCCTAATATTTTGTACACTCAAACCTTCTTCAGCTTCCTTTTGGCATCTATTATGGATTTGTGTTTTCTTCTGTGTTTCTTCTTTTGTGTGATTTTAATTGCTAAGTTTCATGCCAATATTTCAGATCATTGAGCTATTCCAAAAATGTCATGAGGACCATCCAATTGGGAAATTTTTTGGGGAGTGTACTGAGCTCAAGCTCAAGCTTGACCGCTGTTTTAGGGAAGAAGTAAGTTGTCTTTTTTTTTTTTTTGGTGCATTTACATACATACCCACCCAATTCCTTGGTATTTACATATTTAACACCTACAGTTTACTTTTGAACCTTTATGAATTTTTTTTTTTGGTGCATTTACATACATGCCCACCCAATTCCTTGGTATTTACAAATTTAACACCTACAGTTTACTTTTGAACCTTTATGACACTTGTATCTTTCACATCACATCAAAAGTACCACCATTTTAACTTTTATAAAGTGAAATACTCCTTTTAATTTTTTGTGGGCATTTGCATACATACCACTTCTCACTTCGTGGGATAAGGGCTTTTTGTTGTTGTTGTTGTATTTACATACATACCTGTCAATTTGTTGGTATTTACATGTTTAACACCTAAACTTTACATTTTAACCTTTTGTGACACCTGAATCCTTCACATCACATAAAAAATACCACCATTTTAACGTTTATAAAGTGAAATACATCTTTTAATTTTCTGCGGGCATTTGCATACATACCACTTCTCACTTCGTTGGATAAAGGCTTTTTGTTGTTGTTGTATTTACATACATACCTGTCGATTTGTTGGTATTTACATGTTTAACACCTAAAGTTTACTTTTTAACCTTTATAACACCTAGATCTTTCACATCACAACAAAAAATATGGTTTTTACTTTTAAAAAGTAAAATATACCTTTCAATGCATGGATAAGGCGGCAATTGGCATGTATGTAAAAATTGAAGTTTAGGTGTTAGATTTGTAAATACATAAGAATTGAGTGGTATGTATGTAAATCTTCATTTTTTTTTCTTTTTCTGAGATGAGTTTAATATATGAGGAATCAATTGTAATTTTATATTGTGAGCATTTCAAAGTAAGTTTAATGGTTTTTAGATTTACACAACAACAACAACAACAACAACAAAGCCTTAATCCCACTATGTGGGGTCGGCTACATGAATCCTTTTTCTCCATTGCGTCCTATTTAGTGTCATAGTTTCATTTAGTTCTAGTAAATTAAGATCATTTTTAATACAATAAGCCCAAGTCTTCCTAGGTCTACCTCTGCCTTTCTTAATACAAGTCGAATCTAAAACATCTACTCTCCTAATCGGATCATCAGATGGCCGACGTTTAATGTGACCAAACCATCTAAGACGACTAAGATTTTGGGTATTGTCAACCTAATTAAAATTTAATTAGGTTTTTAGATTTAACCTAAGTAAAATTTAATTAAGAAATTGTCAACCTTTTTATTTCTTATTTATTTCTTCAGTGCTTTATTGTTATTAGTAGCTGCTTTTTTTGTTTAGAAAGCTTTGAGGAGAAAGGCTAATTTTGAAGAGAGCAAGAAATTCAAGGAGAGATTGAAAGCATACAGGAAGGAGATGGCAGATAATTGTTCCTGAACAATTATACATATATAGTAAAATATTCTGAGTACATTCACAAATATAATTTATGTAGTCTATATTGTTTGATTAAGCTGTATTTTTTTTAAGGTCATTTGCACATGTACCCCACAACTCTTATGTATTTACATATGTATACTATAAAATCATTGACATTACATAAAAAATATGGCCATTATAATCTTTTTAAAGGTGAAATGTACCTTTTCATGTATTGATTTTTGAAACCTTGGTGTTATAAGTGTAAATATCGAAATTTGGGTGCTAGGTATGTAAATACGTAAGAATTATGTTGTATGTTATGTACCCCACAACTCTTATGTATTTACATATGCAACACCTAAACATTCATATTTACATATATATACTATCAAATCTTTGACATTATATGGCCATTATAATCTTTTTAAAGGTGAAACATACCTTTTCATGCATTGATTTATGAGACCTTGGTGTTATAAGTGTAAATATTGAACATTAGGTACTAGGTATGTAAATACGTAAGAATTATGTTGTATGTATGTAAATTAATCTTATTATTGTTTTCATTATTATGTATAATTTTCAGCAGAAATGAAATTATTATATTTCATTTAGATGTTGTGTTGCTCGTCGTTGATTCAGATGGCATTTTGATAACATTTTGGGTATTGTAAGGGAGATTTATGCAATTAGCATTGAAATATTTTTTATTTAAAATATTAATTTTAGAATATTTTTTAAAATATTAAAAAATAGTGTGTTAAATTAAAATATTTTGTTTAAAAAATTTTGATTTATATTATTTTTAAAAATATTGAGAAAGTGTATTAAAATGAAATGTTATTTATTAAATTGATAAAACAATATTATTATATAATTTATATATTATTTAAATTACATTAAAATAATTGTCATTACTTCCTATATTTAAATTTGAATTTGTTATTCTTGCTGTTTGATAAATGTTAGTGAAAAAAATAAGTTTTGTTGTGATTTTTATTATTTAATATAATTTTGAAAAATGGAGATAAAAAGAATATTAGTTTTTAAAATAAATAATAAATTAAAATGTTGGTTAATAATATAAGTCTTTCATGCATCGTTAGTGTGTCGTCAACCGCTACATTTACAAAGCAAGCAGCACACTTCGCACGATTTTCCAAAAAATAGTAGTTCCTTTTTGTGTCTTAGTTTAATAAATATTTTGAGCTTATTTTTTTGAACAAGAACATGTATGATCGTACTTAACTTATTAATTGTTCATTACATGATCACTATTTTTCTTTTCCTTTTTAAAATTTTTAGGTAGTTTTCTCTATTTAATTTTTCAAAATTAAATTTATAAAAAAGACTATATGCTTGTCCTTCCTTAT